TACCTCTCTATATCCCACCAACCAGTTGCCATCACCTTCAGAGCTGACCTCTCTACCTTGAATTTAACTAGTCTCGTAGATCCCCTTGGAAGCCACAGTCTGGACTGAACCTTGTTTGAAGGCACCCCAACGACACTAGGACAAGTTAATTATGGAGAGAATTTGCCTGCAGCCCTGCACTGACCACCGAGACATGGTTAAACACGATTTACTTGGAATAAGATGGTGCATGTCTGAACTGGAACTTTGGCAGCAATACTTTTAGACCTACCCTTGAAGATGTGACCCTGTCATGACCTGGGATGCTCTCACAAATCTCCAAGACCCCGATCTCCATAAAATATTTAGTTGTACAACAAGCACTCAGAAAAGACACTTGGTATGTATCAAACAAAACAAAACAACAAAACCCAAACACTGTCATCGAGTCAATTCGGACTCACAGCGCTGCCGTAAGACGGGGTAGAACTGCTCCTGTGGGGTTCTGAGACTGCAATTGTTTGCAGGAGTAGAATTTCTCATCTTTCTCCTGCGGAGTGGCTGGTGGTTTCCAATTGCCGGCCTTCCGGTTAGCGGCCAACATGTAACTCACCACCAGGGCTCACTAAGGGCATACAGGACCGGCTCAATAAATGTAAGTTGCCATCATAATTAAGTGACTGGAACTACCTCAGAAAGCAAGCTGCCCCACACCCCTTCACTGCATCTGGTACACAGGAAGCACTCAAAGAACATGAAGTGTCAGCAAAATTTGGGGCCTGAAGTTGCCTCAGTGGCATAGTGGTTACACATGAGGCTGCTAACTGCAAAGTCAGCAGTTTGAAACAAACAGCTGCTCCAACGGAGAAAGATGGCGCTGTCTATTCCTATAAACAGTCTAGGAAACCCACAGGGGAAACTCTGCCTTGTCCTACAGGGTCACTAAGAGTCAGAATCCATTCGATGGCAGTGAGTTTGGAGTTTTTGAAGTTGTCCTAGGAGTTCTCCAAATTAAAAAACCAAACAAACAGAAAAGAATTCTCCAAATTCTCCCGCCTCCACAAAGTAGCCACTTAAGAGTAAGGCTGTCGTCCCACTGAGGGAACTGGAGCCACTCTGTAATGCTGCCTGGATGTATGCAGGAAGTGCTCAATAAACATGAGCTGCGACCATGGTTCTCAACCCGAGGGTTCTTCCTTCCCCTGCTCCCAAGGGACTTTCCTGGATGTCTGGAGACAGTTTGGGTTGTCATACCCCTGCTGGGCAGGGGTGGTTACTGACAGCTAGTGGGCAGAGGCCAGGAATGCTATACACTTATGTATGTATAGCTGCTTCCATGCACCTATCTTATCTACCTATTCATCTAGATCAGTGGTTCTCAACCTCCCGAATGCCGCGGCCCTTTCATACAGCTCCTCATGTTGTGGAGATCCCCCCAACCATGAAATTATTTTTGTAGCTACTTCATAACTGTCATTTTGCTACTGTGATGAACTGGACGACCTCTGTGAAAGGGTCGTTCGACCCCCAAAGGGGTCACGACCCACAAGTTGCGAACTGCTGCTCTAGATCCATGCTGTACTTTTGATTCTGGATTAGGTGATGGTGTACAGAGTCGATCATTTTCCATTCAACGACTCATAGACATTTTGTTTCAGCTCATGGATTGCAAGCCCCACAAGGTAACCTCACTCTCCCACTTCCTCCCTGTGTCTCCTGTTTCCATCCCTTCTTTCCTAACCCTTCTCAACTTCGCCCTTGGGTCAATGCTGCCCTTCCATCTCAGATGGTTGAGTCTTCTACCTCCCTCCTGTTATTGTTCCCCTTATAGACCTGCCTATTGTGTGGCTGAAAACTGAGCCGTGACGCCGAGTCCAGTTCAAGAGCTATATTCTCAAGGGATTCTCCCAGCCTCAATTCAGACAGGAAACCTGGTCTCTTCTAATTTTGAGTTCTGTTTCATATTTTTCTTGCGCTCTAGGCAAGCCTTCTAAGGTGATCCATTTCAGAACAGTTGGCAGTGGTAGCCAGCCACTATCTAGTTCTGGTCTCGGCGTCATGGAGGGTCGTGCTTGCATGGTTTATTAGTTCACTGGACTAATCGTTTCTATGGTGCTTTGACTTTTTTCACTCGTCCAGACAGGGAGAGACCAATGATGGTGCTACCTTCGGTGGCTGCTCATGAACTTCTAAGAGGCCAGTTGTTACTCACAAAGTAGGTATAGAACACTGGCTTGTGGGGGGCGGGGGGCGCTATAATAATTGATTGTAGTATCCTCCAGACACAGTTGGTTTCATACCTTTGTCTCCAGTGTGCTCCCCCACATTCATGGATCTGGTTGCAGCAAAGACAAATCCTATGTGCAAATATCATCTGCCAACCCTCTCTCTGTCTGTGGGAACACTTCCACTCTCCTTCGTAGAGCCACGCACCTGCTCTGGGATCACAGTTACTGTGGGCCTGTGTACACAACAGCATTGACCTCTGCTGCCTTTCACTCTTGCACTCCTCAGGGATGCTATTAAACACCTTACACCGCCCTACCACACACATGTAGCACCCCACCCCCAAAGAAATTTCCTGACTCAAACTGTTCACAGTGCCAAATGGAGAAACCCTAGGCTCTGATCTGAGCTTCACAGCGCCTCCTGGAGAGCCCAGAGCAGCGAAGAACCTGGGCCTCCTCGGTTCCCCCTTTCAACAGTCTTTTCCATTTCCCCATGCTCCCCTGCCCCAGAGCCCTCCTAACCTGCATGCCTGGCAGAATGTACTGCCTGGCTCCTGGAAGGCATAGGCAGCATTGAGACAGCAGTCTTCAGCGCTGACACCTCCCCCCAGGAGGTTCTTGCACTTGCCGGAGGACTCCTCGTACTGGGTAAAGCAGAGTACAGGGTCGGCGCCTATGACAGGGCCAGAGAGTAGGGCGTGGTCAGGGGCAGTGGGCCCAGGCAAACCTTGGGGGCCAGCCGAGTCCCTCACGCACTTACCTGTGGCTGGCAAGGTGAGCAGCAGCAGCAGCGGTGGCAGTAGCCACCCAGAAGCCTGCGCGTGGGCCGTCATGTCGAGCACTGTGTCCCACCAGAGGAGACCTGCCTTTATCCGCAGGGAAAGGGGAAGCAGGCTGTTGGAGGAACTGGGAGGGCAAAGGGTAGGGTGTTGTACAGACCTCTTCAACTCGGACTTCTCCCCGTTCCTTCTCCTCCTCTCCTCTCCCGCTCAGTCTTGTTTTGTTTGTCACGGTTTCCTCAGCACCTCCCCCTGCCTAACAACCCTTCTGTGCTCAGTCATTGCTTCCTGCACAAATCCTTACTGGGGAGAAATGAAGCATTGGGATTTGGAATAAGACAAACGTCCAAAGTGTGTGATCTTAGGCAGAGCAGTTAAACTTCAGAGATCTCCCTTTCCCTATTTGTAAAAGGCTGATTCTCTACTACAATTATAGGCTGGACCTCAGAGGTTGCTGAACACGGCTGAAGTATTTCCCAGTGGGGGAGGGACATGGAGGTAATTGCTTCATCCTCCATCCTAATTTAACCTCTGGCCCTCCTCTTTTCTGATGCAATCGTGGTGAGGAAGGTCATGGCAAGGGAAGTGAGAAAGGGAAGTAACAGGACTGTGGGGAAAGGGATACAGAAAGAGTGAATTGGGGATAGCTACTGTTCTAGAGGCCCACCCTTCAGCGCCTGGGGAAGGGGCCGTTAGGCCTGGGTTAAGGGCAGCTGTACCGTGTTCCAGCAGCAAATGGACTTGTCCAGTGGAGCCGGTTTCCTCCTCAGTAAAATGTGCACACCAACGCAACCTACACCACAGGGTTTGCTGCAAGGGTGATTGTTAGGTGCTATCGAGTCCGTTCTGACCCATAGCGACCCTATGCACAGCAGAAGGGAACGCTGCCCGGTCCTGCACCAGCCTCACCGTTGTTCCTGTGCTTGAGCCCATTGTTGTAGTCACGGTGTCCATCCATCTCCTTGAAAGATTGAGCGTTTAGATTTTAAAAAGTGCTTAGAGAAGTGCCTGGCATAATATAGTATAGGCATCCTGACAATTTTGTCAAATAAATTAATTCAAAAAACATTTACTGTATACCTATTAGGCGTTGGATGCTATTCTGGACACTGGACAGTGCAGAGAACAAGAGAGACAAAAATCCTGGCCCTAGAAGAACTTAACATTCTAAAAAAGGGGACAAATAATAGATGTCATCTCTCAGGTTGGCAAAAAATTATGGTGACAAGAGAAGACATTGACAGGAGTGGAAGGGTTAAAGGCAATAGAGGTAAATACTGTTTCACACACAATCCTGCAATCATGATGATCTACGATGCATCGATGTGCATGCCGGCCAAGCAGGTGTGGGAGTGGGAATGGGAGTGTGCCACAAATATATATAGGTTTCACAGAAGATCTATGTACATGGGTATTACCCTTGTTGGAAGAATATCCATGAATGTGTTTGAGCACACAGGGGATGTTATAAAAACATCTTAGACATAACCAAACATCTTGAGGGAATGAGTCGCTAGGCCTGAGAGATCAGGAGTACTCTCAGGGACACTAAGGTCAACTGACATAAAATAATCCACAAAGATCATGCTCTACATCCTACTCTGGTGACTGAGGCCTTAGAAACTCATGAGCAGCCTCGTGAGGTGTAACGGTTGGTCTCTCCCACTCTGGAGGAAAGAGGAGTGCTGAAAATCAGCGACCCGTGGAAAGAACTAGTCCACCGGATCACATAAATAGGTCTCCACAATTCAGAGGCCAGAATTGGATAGTGCCGGGCTACCACTACTAAATGCTCTGAAAAGGATCACATTAGGTGGTCTTGGAAAGAGTCGGGGTAAAATGTGTAACAAAACTCAAAATCATGAATAGCTGACTTGTACTTGTGGTTTATAGCTGGCCTATACTCATATAATTTCCTTTTCTCAATAGTGTTTTAAATTCTATACCATTGGCTAAACTAATGGCACCATCAATACATACTAGCTATGCATTGGACTACAAACTGAAAGGTCAGCAGTGTGAAACCATCAGGCAGCTCCATAGGGGAAAAATGAGGCTTTCTTTGCCTGCGAAGATTTGCAGGCTCAGAGACTTGCAGAGGCAGTTCTACCCTGCCCTATAGGGTCACTGTAAGTCAGCATTGACTTGATGGCAGAAGGGATCACCTGAGGGGGATGCTTAATAAAGTTCTCTAACATAAAATGACAATGATGTCTCTAAGGTTTATATAGAGACACATAAATGATAGATACAGGGATGGATTTGGGGCTTGCACTTAATTCTAGTCCCAATCTAAGAAAAATTAATTCTTATGACATGGTCCTGCTTGATGCTTGACCTCATTAAGAGATCACTGCAGATATGGGTGCTACAGCAAAGTGTGGTGATGAAACTAGATGGTGCTCAGCCATCAGAAAGCATAGGATTTGGGGTCTTTTAAAGGCTTGTCTTCAAATAAGCACCCACTTATGTTATATGGAAGCTGTCATGCCCTAGCTCAGTAGATTTCCGACTCGCCTGGACAGTTTGTTGAATCACAGGTCTCCAGGACTCACCTTTGACTTTCTGAAGTGGGGTTTAAGAATTTGCATTTCTGATGCTGCTGGTCTGGGGACTGCACTTTGAAAACCACTGTTCTAGATTCGGACTTTTTCTTTGTGGGACTCATTTTTGAGCAAACCACTCCATAGGTTTCATGTTTGCCTGTTAATCACAGTTTCCTCTTCGGCCCATTTTTCATGTAGGCAAAACTCCCCAGACTTGCAATTTTTAAAACAAGCTGCAATGAGCGAAAAAGTAGCCCTGGTTTCACAGTGGTTAAAGCACTTAGCTGTGAACTGAAAGGCGGGTGGTTAAAACCCACCAATGGCTGTGCAGGTGAGAGATATGGCAGTGGGCTTCGGTCAAGGTTGCAACCTTGGCATGCCTATTCTGTCAGTTCTATTCTGTCCTATAGAGCCCCCGAGTCCAAACTGACTCCATGCCAACAGGTTTGGTTTCTTAAATGAGTGAAACTCTAGAGCCACTATAAACACAGAACTCTTTTAAATTAACATAAAAGAGGCTAAGATGTGAAGGCAATGTCTCATTTCCCCTTGATATTCATCAAGGAAGAAATGTTTCTGCAGATTAAAACAAGGACAGAAAGAAGCATTTTATTTGGGCACAGTTTTCTCAAGAATATCAGTCTTCTTCTATGGGCAATAAGATGTGTTGGTGGTGGTATTCCTATTTGTGACAGATGTACTAGGTTTTCTAGTAATTTAAGTCTGTTTTTGAAAGGGTACGTTTCTCTCTCACACACAAAATCTCCATCTCTTATATCCCTGTTCGCTCAAAAGAACAAAAGGGGTCTTGTTCAGGCTCAAAGACTTCAGACATCAGTGCTGTGCTAATCTTGTGAAAACAGCCTCCCAAACAAACCTGTAATTCTGGTTGGCTGCTTTGTTTAATCGCCTGTTGCCCCGATAATATTATCATTGATAATTCCTATTCCCAAACTGTATAGATATTCAAAGGCTTCCTTGCAGAAGACTGCTGGCATTTTCATTTCCTCTGTTATTTGGGCAATAAAATGGCTGCAGAGTCCTTAAAGAAAGAGGGTCTTATTTAATGACTGCATCAAACCAAAGCAAACCACTTTCCGTCGAGTTCATTCCAACTCATGGTGAGCCCATGTGTCAGAGAAGATCTGAGCTGCTGGGGGGTTTTCAATGACAGATGATTGGTCACTAGACTCACCGGCCTTTCTTTTGAGGAACTGTGGGTGGACTTGAATGGCCAACCTTTGGACCAAGAGTCAAGCCTTTGTGCTGCACTCAGGTACTCTGCAACAATTGTGTTACTCCACTGAGATGATGTGTGTCTTGTCTGTCTCTCTCCCGAAAACATCAGCTCTCCTGGGATCTAGATGATTGACTGCTTTGCAGGGCCGAGACTGGCACCAGTATACAATACTCACCTTGCTGCCAGGGAGTTGATTCCTACTAATAAATGCCTACGGAATGAATTATTGGACCTTTAGCGATTCTGGTATGTGCTAATAGTCTGGGCTTGGCGGTAAGAACCAGAGGCATCAGTCGGGGATAAGTATTGTTTTAAGTTCAGGAACTGGAAGCGGTCACTCAGAAAGGGCCTGAGAAAAAGCCCCGGGGGAACCCCAGCACTGAAGTTTTGGAGAACTGGGAAAAACCAGCCCAAGGAATGGGGAGGAGGGTCAGGGAAGAAAGAGGACAAACAGGAGTTTTTGTCCTGGGCTGGGCACATTCCATTGGTGGTCTCTCATCCATGGTCTGTCATTTTTCTCCCACAATTTGACCCACACAAACCCAATTTCCAATTCACAGCCTCTTCTGTAGTCGCTCAAAAACAGCTTCACATACACACGAAACCACATTTTCTCGGATACGCTTTCAGGGAGTGTCTTTCTGTCCCTGACTCAAAGCCTTGCTACAATCTGCCACTAACAGTTTCACATACAGTTATGACAGTTCCTATCTTGTCTCATTCAATCCATCACACCAGTTTTTCACACATACACAAACATGGCCACACACACAAATATACCTACTCCTAATGTATCCACACGGTCAGCTTCCAAGCACCAGGTGGTTAAGTGAAAATTGCTATTATCTAAGGAGGTTGACCACCTCGGATCAAAAAACCGATGATGACTAATGTACCATTACACAACTGTCAAACCATTGGGAATCATGGCTCCGCCAAGTTGACATCAGTCATCTTATCCATCACAGTCAGCGTTCTCTCCTCTTACTGCCAGACATAGGTCTTTCATGCGCAAAATCGTCGGATAGATTTTACTGTGTCAGAAATGCAGACTGTTGTCTAAAGTTGAGAAGGAGTAGGCGCACAGTCTTGATTTATGGTTACCACTCGCCTCTCATGAAGATTCTCACACACCCAATCACCTTCTCTCGTAAGTCACTGTTCCACCCCCACCCTGCCCACAACCTCTCCCAGATCCCCCCCCACAATCATAGTGTCAAACTCTAGACCCCTAGTCTTCCAATTCTTCTCAACCAGTTCCCAACACTCCCAGCCCTCGGTTTATAGCCTTCACTATAGTCTCCAGCAAGGTTTTACACAGGCTCACACAACCAATTTCTCATTCTCTCACTTTTCCTCAGTCAGTCCCGATTCACTAATTCACAATCACAACTTCTCTCAATAAGTCTCTCTCTCTCACATACATACTCTACCATTTTCTCCAGTCAGCTGATCACATTCACGAAACAGCTGAGCAAGTGGTTTGAGCCACTCTTAGTTCCCAGCCTTTCTGTCCCCGTCCCCGCCCCCCCGTTTCTACAGCCACATTTAACGTCTCATGACTTCTTCCTCACACACTTCGTCTCTCAGATACTGTCTCCTTACCCATTGCGTCTTTCAGTCATTGTCCCCTCCAATTCATCTTCTCCCCTCCTTGGTTGGTGTCTAGCTCCTACTACACACAGCCTGGGCTGCCTGCGTGGCACCAATGGCGCAAGTGCCCCACTGCGAACCCGAGGGTGCGGAGTCCACCGTGAGGAACCTTGGCCGACGGGCCTGGTGATCAACTTTGGAAGAATCAGCCACCGAAAACTCCCCGGAGCTCAGGTCTAGGGACACACAGAGGGTGGGATGGTCTCTAGAGGACAGTGACAGGACTCTTCCCTCCAGGTGTGATTCCGAAGTACCTCATCCTGCTCAGCTGCCACCCAGCGGTCGGAGGGAACGTGGGTGTCGCTATGATGCTTGCTGTTCAGGATTCGGTGGCGCGTCTAGACTCAAAAGGACTAGAAGAAAGGTCTGGAGGACTCAAAAGGACTAGAGAAAACTCCTGAAAACCCGCCAATGAAAACCCTATGGATCCCAATCACCTGGTCTGCCAGCAATCATGGGATGCCTCCCGCTGGGCAGTGTTTTGTACTGCTGGGGGTGGGGGCGGGTGTACCATGAGCTGCGGGTGGACTCAACAGTAACTAATATCACCAACTACTATTACTGTCTACCCAACAGAGTCACACGATCCCATTCAGTCATCTACCGGAGCTTCAAATGTACACTGACCGATTTACAAGGGCAATTGTATCGCATCGACAGCTTCACGCACACAGCCATTACCTCGCATGCAGTCTGCTCCCGTCCTCTCTGAATAAGCCTCATAAGCCGCTACCACCATTCGTTCAGTCCGAGGCCGTTTACAAAATCAGTTACTGAGTTGCCGTCCCCAGTCTTCGCTCAGGAAATTCCTCACAGACACATGCTGTCGCTCTGAGTCGAAGGCACTCCGTTTGGTTTCTGTTTCCTGCAAACATCCAGCCCATGGTTTAGTCTCTTGGGAAATGTTTCATCCGTACCACAATCTCAAGACCCCGTCTCAGTCATGGAGTTGGCTCCTCACATGTGCACGCATACGGGTAGCTGCTGACTTCTGCAGGCTTGCACACAAATGATGTGGTCTCTTGCACTTTTCAGCTGCTCTGCCTGTCATCCCCCCATTCCCCCCTCTGCAGAAGCACTGAGGCCACGGGCAAACCCGGGGTGTAGACTGCTTGGCCTCCAGTGTCACATACACAATGACAGGCTCACCTGGCCTGGCCATCATGGCCACTTCTGCCTTCTGTTTCCTCACAGTCAGTCTCTTATGTCTTGGTCACCCATTGGCCTTACAGCCATTTTCGCTCATGAAATCGACGTCCCAGACATACACTCCTGTCACTTTGGCTGATGAAGTCGCTGCATGAACGGTTTTCATACACATTCCGTCTCTCGACACTACATGGACTTGGAACTTCCAGTGAGGTTTCTCACTTTCACACAACTCCCTACGATCACACCCACCGTCTCCCACACTTGGGTTCACTCGGTCTACCTTGCTCCTCACCAGCTTGTCAAAAGTAACTGTCCTGCAGTCACCATTACCTTCTCACACATGATCTCACAGATCCCGTCACGCTGTCTTGTGCTGTATTTAATTCATTTCATGATAAAGTACATCTGACGCACAGCCAAAATTTCTCAGACACAAAATCAAAATTTGGTGGTGCCAACTTCTACAGTCTCGTGCACAGTTCCATACACACACACACACACACAATCACAGCTTTGCACGCGCACACGCACACGCACACACACACACACACACACAGGCCAATTTGCTCTCTCTATTACCATTTTGCCGTCACGGTCTATGTCTCACACTCACACCACACAGTCCTCGCCACATCACATGCTCAGGGGGAGGAAAAACACCAACAGCCTCTAGCATCACCTTTAAAAATATATATTTACAGGAACAATTCCCCATTCTCTGGGACTCTTAGCAAAAAAAAAAAAAGATCCATTTTGGGGAAGTAAAACAAACAGTGGAGACAGGTAGAGCACCGTCCCCCAAGTCACCATCTCCCAGGTCCCCAGGCCTGAGCTGGGCCTTTGCTGATAGGAGGTGAGTGCAGAAGTCTTGACTCCACCTCTACAGCTGTGAATTGATACAGGGCAGGTCTTATGAGCCCCGTTCCTCCCTCCCAACTCCAGGGACACTTAAAGGGTCCTTTGTACCCGCCCGCAGGAAGTTGGGGGGCTGGGAGGGAGGGAACTGAAAATACACATTTGGTATCAAAAATAAACACTTGGGGGTGGCAGGAAGATTCCCCCAAATCCCTTCCTTCCCACTCACCCCCCATCTCAGATACAGGAAGAGATGCCCCCTCTCCCTTATTGAAAAGCCCTGTTTAAAAATAGATTATACTATCAAAATGGATGGGGCAAGGGGCACAGGGAGACCTGGAGTACTGGCTAGAGGAGCCCCCCAGACGGGGACCACCCCCCCAAAAAAACTTTCATTGGGAGGTAACAGGCAGGACCCCACGGAGTTTGGCAGACAAAGGAATGGCTTCTCAGAGGGGAGAATAGCAAAGGGGACATCCCTCCCTTACCAAACAGCTGGTTGAAAAAAGGTTGGGGAGGTGAAAGTTCCTATTGCGAGGGGGTGGCTCTGTCTCGGCCAAGACTCCCAAACCTTTCAAAGGTGCACAATTCTCCCGAGACTCCTGGGCCTATCCAGGAATAAAAGAGACCACCCATCTAAAAAAGAGACAGGGCTGCTGTAGCTCCCCGAGGGCTGGCTGAGAAATAAAGAAAGAAATGTTCTTCTCGTGCCAGACCCTGATTGTCTCATCTTGGGGGCAGGGAGGGGGGGATGTAGAGATGGGGGAGATATCCTCACCAATCCCCTAAAAGGGAGAGCCAGGCTCCTCCCAGCGGCCTTCAAAAAATAAATAAATAAACCGTCCCTACCACTGAGGCAGGTGACGAGTAAGAGCGGCCACTGGAGAGGCTGATAAAGAAGAAAGAAGTTGTATTTTCTGTGTGCGTGTGTGTGTGTGTGTGTGTGTGTGTGTGCACGCAGAAGGGTGGGGGTTACTGTGCGATTCTTCTTCCCAAGAGTCCCTATCCCACCAGACGAGAACATGAATCTGTCCACTGGATTGCTTCTTCTTGAGAAGGCTGGCTGGAGAGAAGACTGAGGGAGGGCATGGATGGAGTGACCCCGGTAGGGGCTGGCGCTGGTAGTCATGGCTTCTGGGGCCCTGGGGAGAGCACCACGGGGGTCGAAAGGCCATCCACGCTGATGGAAGGAATGTGCACCTGGGCGCTGCCACTGGAGGGAAACTGGGGGGGCAGAAATAGGGAGAGGCCAGATTAGGGTCATGTTAGGGTCACTCACTGTCCCTAGGATGGGGGTGCGGGGAAGGGAGCCTACCTGGAAGGAGAGCTTGGCTGGGCTTCGGGGTGCAATGGGGCTTAGGGTACTCCAGAAGTGAATGCTGGGGGGCAGCGAGCTGGGCGTCAGCAGCACCGGGGTCTGCAAGGAAGGGGTGTGGGAAGACGGGAGGCACTGGGTGCCAGCCCCTCCCAGATTTCCCCCCTCCGACTCCCGAGGGCGCGGCTCAGCACTCCACGGGCCTAGACCATAACCACTATGGCCCAGCCTGCAGGAATCTCTCAAACTTGACCCAGGCATGGCCTCACACCTGCGACTCCTGAGAGCCCCCTTTCAGACCCTGAGGCCTCCTTGGGCAAGGCCTTCACCCACACAACTGCCTCCACATCGCTGCTCTCAAACCTCACAATTCACCTACCCAACAGCGCGGGCTCAACCCCGAACTTGCTTGCCTGACCTGCAGTCTCTCTCCACCACCCCCCACCCTCCAGAGGTTCCCACAGAAGCCCATCCCCTTGTACTGGGGTCTCCTGGGCCCTTCAATTCATCAAGCCCCCTCCTGGCGCGCTCCCTGGATCCTGGCCCCTCACAGGCCAGCACAGCTACCTTAGCCATCGCCCCATTCCTCAGCTGTCCATCCCTTCGCAGGCACTCACCAATGTATGTGTCGGCAGCAAGGATGGCGTCAGTGCTGGCCCTGGAGCCTGCAGGCCGGAGCTAGTCCCCGATCCTGGAGTCCGTTCGGGTCCCGGCCCACCCAACAGGCTTGGGCTGACTGGAAGCTCCAGGTCCCGGGGCTTCCGACCCTTCTGCGGCTGGGCAATCTCTGTGCTGGAAATGGTGGAAGACGCTCGGCTCGCTTCTCGGCCGGCCGTCTCCATAATGACGGCAGGAAGGATTTCGGACCGAACCTTGGTAGCTTCTGGCACAAACCCCGCCTCCCCATCGCTGGAAGCTTCCAACTCTTCTTTGGGTCCGTCTACTTTCACTTGTGGGGGCAGTGGCCGACCCAGCCCCGACTCCATATTCATTTCTTCAGATTTCGGGGCCTCGGGCGGGGTCAGGATAACCTGGAAGAGGGATGGGTGCGGGAGGGACGAAATAAGAGCTCTTGGGGCTAGTGAAGCTGTCTCCAGTCAGCCAGCCACAGATTCCCCTGGGAAGGTGGGGCTTAGTTTGGGGGACAAGGGACTGGCAAGCGGGGAGGGCACTGGGGCAAGGCCTCTCGCTGGACTCGAGGCACCTGGGGCAAGACAATCACATTGGTGGGAGGACTGCTGGGGCTACCTTCCTCCTACATTAAAAGTGGTTCTCAAAACTTTGCTCGAGGGAAGTACAGCATTCACCTCATTTGAAAATTTGTTAAAAATGGGAGTTCTCAGGCCCCTTTCAAGAGCCCCAAATTAACCATAAATTCTGGGGGTGTTTTAACAAGGCCCCAGGTGAGTCTGCAAAGTGCTAACATTGAGAATTCATGCATTACACAAATATGCTCAGGGTTACTTACTTACTCTATGCTGGGTAGCTACTAAGTGTCAAAAACCCACTGCCATCAAGTCGATTCTGACTCATGGTGACCCTATAGGGGTTTCAAAGACCGTAATTCTTCATGGGAGTAGCAAGCTTTGTCTTTCTCCCATAGAGCTGCTGGTGGTTTCAAACTGCTGACTTGGTTTGCAGCCCAACATGTAACCACAAGGCCAACAGTGCTCCCACGCTTTATCTCCTCCTTCCTCATCAGGACGCTCCCAGCTCTCCTCCCACCACTCTCTCTAAGGGGCCATCCTCTCCTGCCATCTGATCCCCTGGGACTCATTCAGGATTTGTACCTCCCTCCTCCTCCCCAACTCTTCTGGTAGAATTTTCAGGGTCCAGTCCTCACCTGCAGAGGCAGGCCAGCCTCCTCTGCCTCCAGGCAAGCCTCCAAGGGACTTGGACTGGCGCCAGTGCTCCCCGAGGGGGGTGCTGCTGCTCCTGCAGAGGTGGTGCTGGGGAGCGCTGAGGCAGGCCGAGGGTGAGAGGGTGGCTGAGGCGGGGGCTGTGGCTGCAGGGACTGGATGGTGAAGGTGGAATAGAGGCCTGAGCGCATGTACTCGTTCCGGCTGCTGCGTGACAAACCACCTGGGCCTGCCATTCCTGCGCCCTTGGGTGTGCCTGGCTTCCCTGTGGCGGAGTCCCCGGGGGCAACGTGTACAGCAGCAGAGGCCACATTTGTCACAGAGGAGGCAACAGACACCTCAGGCTGGGGTGGGCAGTCCTCATTGGAGCACCCTGCGACCTCAGGGTAGGACACAAACTTGTAGACAAACTTCTGGCCGCTCACTTTGCGGATGATGTTCTGGGAAGGGAGGAGAGGGGACAGAGGGACTTAGAGGAAAGGGGCAGGTGAAGAGAAGGTGTGGATGGAGGAGGAGGAGGTGGAGGGGTGCGTCAATTCTCCTAGGATCTTCCTTCCCACCTGTCCCTCTCTCGGCTTTTTAGGCACCTGGCCTACCTTCTCTGAGTCTGCCTGCCTGTGTGTTCCCCAGCTCACCCATCTCTCTCAAATCTTCAGCTCCTCCCATGCCCTCTGCTGTCTCTTACTTCTTCCCCAGATTCCCTTATGGGGTCCCTCCCTGCCTCGCCCTTCTATAGTCTCCCTTTACACTGATTCCTTTAAACCTACTACCCCTTTCTTTCTCCTTTCCACGGCTCCCTTGCATTTTTCCTCCCCACATACCTCTCTCCAAGTCTCATCTGTCACTGCTCGCCTCCATCTGTCTGACTACATCCACCATCTCACACACATCTCCCCATCACAGGGCCCATCTGAGGGAGCAGACACACTAGCAGGATTTCTTCCCGGCTCCAAAAACCAGGGGGTGTTTGTGGGCTGAAGGGTCAGGCCTTGGGAGCAGCTGTCAGGACCCAGCTTTGGAGATGAGCTAAGACAGGAAAATGCAATCATTGGTATATAAATGCTGGAAGCGGCCAGATTAAGATAGAAGAATGGGGTGCTGAGTTATAATTAATACAAAGCCAAACCAACTGCCACCGAGTTGGTTTTGACTCATAGCGACACGAAAGGACAGGGTAGAACCACTCTCTAGGGTTTCCTAGGCTCACGTTTGTATGGGAAGAGACAGCCTCATCTTGCTCGTGCAGAGTGGCTGGTGGGTTTGAACTCTGACCAATCTGCCAGTTGACACAGAAGTGGCACAGGGAAAAGGCCAGTAGAGAGAACATGCTGAGGAGGCCTTATTATTACTCTCATGGAGTGGTGACCTGGAGCAATGAGAATATTAAATAACTGATAGTAATAGAAGATGAAAATCCTGGTATAGATATTAGAGGGGGGATCTCAAAGCTGGCCTAAAGGTGAATCTCAGAGCAGGTTTGGGGCATTTCAGGACAGGTCTGGAGGTGCTCATGATGTCCTAGTGGTCCCACAAAGCCTGACTGTTATCGTTTATGAACATGTTATCACCACTTAGCAACGTGGCTAAGTTCCACAGACCAGATCATGATGTAAAAGTCGACATTACACAAAAATGGAGGATGACTGCATCATGATAGACCTGCCAAATGAAAGCATCACATACGTGACAAACCACTGAGAATCAATGCGCAGCCAAGTTGACACGTCACCTGAACCATCACAACCAGCACTACCCTCACCTCATGCCTTAGTGTTCTGTTACTGACAGACTATGTAGTTAATGTGCAGAGTACTTGGATTTTTTTAGTATGATCATAAATGTGAAATGTCAGATAACGGGATTGCCAACAAGTGAGGGCTGGTATATTGGATTGGAAGTTTAAGTTAAAGGAATCAAACATGAAAGTGAACACACGCTATAAATAGGAAGGCTGTGCAGCAGATGTCTAGGGCTGGGTGGGGAGGGGCAAGAGGAACCTGGGAGACCTGGAAGCACTCTGGGGTGGAGTCGTAATGCTGATGTGTGCGTGCAGAGGGGTGCTTGCATTTCTCGAATGGAAGGAGGACAGTAAGGGATACTCATATTGTTTTGGAGGCTTCAGCTAGAGAAATACCAAAATGCAATAATTGGCATAAATATTGGCAGCACTGGTTTGAGAATCTAAGAGATAGGGTGACAAATACTTTTTAAATTTTGCTATAAAAAAGATGATAACATAACTGATATAAATATTGGAGAAAACCAGTGCTACTCGGATTCAAGAAGGCTGGGGTATTGAGCTGGCATTAAATAGTGTGGTAGTTACATAATCTCCTGTCAACTTGAACGAAGGGGTGGGGTTTAGCCTGTCAATCAGGTCGCAGCTTGATGACCTCATTTGGAGGTGCAACCAATAAATAGTTCACTGGAGGCTGGACCCACTCTCTCTCTGCTTGACATTCCTATTGAAAAGTCACATGGATCTAAATAAATAAATAAATTTTCTTTAAAAAAGAAAGAAAAGTCACATTGAGCTGTGCTGATGATGGCAGCCAGAGCCCTGGAGCTAGAGCAGCCACGCGGAGACCCATGCCAGCCCTGAAATGCTTCCTCCACCACTGGATCCACAAGACTTCCCACCCACTGGCCTGTGATCTTCCTACATTCGGCATCATTGCATGTGTTGCGTGCATCTGAAGAGGAATTTATAGACTGGTATTGGACTTATGGACTTCATCTGGACTGGGCCGGGATGTTCTCTTAATATGCAATTACTCTTGGATAAAAAATTCTTACACACACGAGTGTCTCTTTTGTTTCTCTAGTCCACCCAGACTAACCAGATCGTTTGGCTGCAATAACAGAGCAAGAAAAGGAAATGCTATACAAGGTGTGGTGGGACAGCACTGCTGTGGAGATCTCAGAGGATGGGGTGAAGAGGGTCATTATTAATGTTGCTTTGAAGGTTTTAGCTAAGCAGCAAGACAAGGAACAAACTGACATAAAGGTCTGGGGGCCCAACATCAGTCTGAGGGTAGCAAAAGGTGGGGAAAGAAATGGCAAATTTTAAGACTATTTTCCAAGTTCTAGCTCCAGAAATGTGTGCCAAGAAAATGAAATGATGGATAGACACACTGAGGGTTCCGAGCCCTGGTCTTACCTTGTCATAGTAGTACCGCAAGGCCCGGCTGAGCTTGTCGTAATTCATGTTGGTCTTGTTCTTGCGCAATCCCCAGAGCCGGGCCACCTCCTCTGCATCGACTAGCTTGAACTCCCCCCCATCCCGTGAGGTCCAGGCGATGATGTGGCCATTGCCTTGCTCTCTCAGCAGCTGCAGCAGAAACTGCCACAGCGTCACAGATGGGTCCATCGCTGGGGGAGCGCTTACGTCATCCTAGGGGTCTGGAGGAGACACAGCTCAAAGCCGAGAGGCTGTGGACACAGGAGGGGGTAGAGATCAGTAGGAAGACGATTTCTTTCTTGCATCTTACCTCCACCTCTGGCCCTAAACATCATTACCATTTCCTACACCCTTAGCCTGGGAGTCCTGGTGACATAACTGGAGGTCGGCAGTTCAAAACCACTAGCCTCTCTGTGGGAGAGAGGAGGCTCCAGTCTCCGCAACCCAAAGGGGTGGTTCTGTTCTAGCCTGTCCTAACAGGGTCGCTCGGGGTCGGCATCTACTCGCTGGCAGTGAGCTGGAATTAGATCGAGCTGGGTTGGGATGATTCCTGTCATAGGACTAGATTTCTGGGGACTCTGGGATGGTAAGAATGTGTTTTGCATGTGGGACATATGTGAATCTCTGGGGGGGCGGCTAGAACGTGGACCATGTTGGGCAGAATAATGGCTTCTCAAAGATGTCCATGTCTTAGTCTTTGGAACTTAGATGCTACCTTGCATAGCAAAAGGAATTTGGCAGATGGAATTAAGATGACCAGTGGGGAAGGGAGACTGATTTTTAAATAAAGAGATTCTCTTGGATTCTTTGTATGGGCCCAATCTAATGGCCCGAGCTCTTAAAGGTGGTGGAAAGGCAGCTCAGGCCAAAGAGACAGAAGAGAGTCAAAGCATGAAACGGACTGGACCTGCTTGGAAGGTCGAAAGAGGAGGCTGCGAGTCCAGGAATGCAGGCAGCATTCAAACTGGGAACCACTCCAAGCTGGTAAAGGCCTTTAGCTGACAGCCCATGAGAAAACAGGTACCTTGAAAGTCCTACAAGTGCAAGGAACTGAATTCTGCTAACAACCTAAGCAAGGAGAACAACGTACATTCAAAGCTAGGCGGTCGGCCACCATCGTTGATTAGGGCACAGCTGTTTGCTTCTTCAAAACAACAATAGAAAGCTCCCTGGACATTGAGTTGAGTTCCAAGGCTGCACATCTTCTTCACAGGAGCAGATAGCCTGGTGGGTTTGAACCCCGACCGACCTTGTGGTTGGTGGTCCAACACCTAGCCCGAATGGGCAGATTTGTTTGCTATGCAATGCAACCATGGTCCTTACTACAGCAATTACCGAACTGTTTTGAACTGGTTCAAACAATGCCTTGGTCTTGAGAAGCGAAGTGCGTGACAATTGGTTATAGCAGGAATAGAAAATGAATCAACGCTATAAATGAACTTTACCATTTTCTCTTCGATCCCATCACACAATTTCAAGTGTCTCAGACAGCTCATTTGGTCAGGTCCTGGTGAATGCTGTTCCCTCATCCCATCTGGGGTTTTCTTGCTCAGCCTTGAAGTCTTCTCCATCTTTCAAGTTCTTTTCCAGGGTTCATTCCTTTAGGAACAGGTGCCTTAGTGGTGCTGTCAGGGAAGTGTTGGGCTGCTAACAGCTAGGTCGGTGGTTCAATTCTACCAGCGGCTCCTCTTCTCACACAGATTTACAGCCTCAGAAACTCTATATAGAGCAGCAGTTCTCAACCTGTGGGTCATGACCCCTTTGGGGGTCGAACAACCCTTTCACAGGGGTCGCCTGACTCATAACAGTAGCAAAATGACAGTTAAGAAGTAGCAATGAAAACCATTGGATGGTGGGGGGGGGTCACCACAACCTGAGGAACTGTATGAAAGGGTTGCAGCATGAGGAAGGTTGTGGGCTTGGGTTTGGTTTTCCTTTGAATGGAATGCCTGCTTTCTTCTGTCCCACTATTCCCCACTCCCCACCCCTGTGGCACGTTATTGTCCCCGTCTGTTCTCCCATTTGATAGCAACAGCAATAACTAATGTTTAGAGTACTTAGTACATGCCAGGCAGTTTTCAGTAGAGAGGCCACTATAGCTTACTACTCACCACGTAGGCCCTGGAGTCAGACTGCCGCTAGTCTGCCACTCACGAGGGGGTTTCAAAAAGTCCACGGCAAAACTGAATTACAAACTAATGGAATTGTTCCACAAACTCCTGGAAGCGCCCATGTATTAGCTGTCTGACCCTGGACATATTCTTTAACATCTTTGTCCCTCATTTTTTCTCAACCATAAAATAGGAGTGTTCTTATCTGTAGAGATAACATCTAGTTCATAGGTATTGTACGGATTGACTACAATACCCCTGCAGTAGGGAGGCTTTAAATAAACATAAGCTACAAATCTGCACATAAAGGGTCCTGGTGACAATGGGTGAAGCTCTGGACTGCTGACTAAAGCGGGCAGCTCAAACCCACCTATAGCTCTCTACAGGAGAAATATGAGGCCCCTGCTTCCACAGCATTTTGCTGCCTCAGAAACCTTACGGAGTTCTTCCTCTGTTCTATAGGATTGCCGTGAGTCAGCATCAACTCAACGGCAGGGGAAGTGGGAAATTTGTTTATGAATCTCTGTTATTTCAAAATCCCAACCCCTCTACAAATGTAACTCCTTCAGTGGCAACTGACTTGACTTGAAATTAAATAAGGCCCTCTAAGAGCTTGACTGAGGGTGTTATGTAACATATGTCTATACCCTATTACCTTTTTAAAATCTGAAAACTCCTAAGTTCTGAACTACATCTGGCACTTCAGGTTTTTGTTTTTGTTTTTGTTTTCTTTTAAAAGAATCATTTTATTGGGGGCTCATACAACTGTTATCCCAATCCATACACACATCAATTGTGTAAAGCGCATTTGTACATCGTTTCTCAAAACATTTTCTCTCCATTGAAACCCCCGACATTAGGTCCTCATTTTTCCCCTCCCTCCCCGCTCCCCCCTCCCGCATGAGCCCTTGATAGTTTATAAATGGGTATTTTGTCATATCTTGCCCTGTCCGACGTCTCCCTTCATCCACTTTTTGATTGTCTGTCCCCCAGGGAGGAGGTCACACACAGTTCCATGTAATCGGTTCCCTCTTTCCTACCCATTCTCCCTTTACCCTCCCTGTTTTGCCACTCACACCACTGGTCCTATAGGGCTCATCCGTCCTGGATTCCCTGTATTTTCAGTTCCTATCTGTACCAGTGTACCTCCTCTGGTCTAGCCAGTCTTGCAAGATAGAATTCGAGTCATGGTAGTGGGAGCGGGGAGGAAACCTTTAGGAACTAGAGGAAGGTTGTATTTCTCATCATTGTTACATCGCACCCTGACTGGCTCATCTCCTCCCCGAGACCCCTCTGCAAGGGGATCTCCAGTGGCCTACTAATGGGCTTTGGATCTCCACTCTGCACTCCCCCCATCATTCACTATGGTAAGATTTTTTGTTCTGATGATGCCTTACACCTGATCCCTTCGACAACTCATGGTTGCATAGGCTGGTGTGCTTCACTTCAGGTTTTTGATAAGGAAATGGAGACCCACTCTGATCTTTTCCTAAGGATTGACTCATCTATCTCTCCCCAACTGACAGATCCTCACTGTCAACAAGTCCATTCCAAACCACAGCCATCCTACAGGACAGAACAGAACTGGCCCTGGGGGTTGCTGAGACGAAATCTTTATAGGACTAGAAAGCCTCATCTTTCTCCCCAGTGGGTTACATGTTGGGCTGTTAACTGCAAGGTCAGCAGTTCGGAACCACCAGCTGCTCTGAGGGATAAAGATAAGGCTTTTTCCTCCTGTAAAGATTTATAGGGACTCATAGGGGCAGTTCTCCGCTGTCTTCGAGGGTTACTATGAGTCGGAACTGACTCAGGGGCAGTGAGTTTTGAATGAGAATTTAGAGATGAGGTGGCTGGGGCACTGTCGGTCTCAATGACCTGCACAAGAACACACAGCTCTAAGTGGCAGCGCCAGGATTTCAACCCAGGTTTCCAGGTGCTAGTTGTCTAAGCTCTTCACCATGAGGCTAATCTGCCTCTCACACTGACTGCTCCCTGAGACCGTGTCCAGAGAGAACAGGAACTTCCCCATACCCGCTATAGTTGCTTTCTTTCCTGAGAGCAAATGCGCAATAAACACAAATAGGCTTTCTATTCCTTAGGGAAATGAGCTTTAATCAATCCATTGTTCAGATGGCTAGAATCACTGGGCGAGGAATAAAGCTTTTCACATCAGACAGTTTGGAGAATCTCCCTGCATTATTTACCGATGGATTCTTCAATCTATAAATGTGTGTGTGTATTCCTCTTATGTCCAAGTTCTTTCAAAGATCATTCAGCATACAGTTTTAGCCCATTATGCAAGTCCCAGACCCATGAACTATGGAACTATGTCTAGACTGAGGAGTCCAAGATCTCACTCTATTTCAAAGCCCACTTGTGTCAGAGGTGCAGAGTTCAATGTGACCCCTGGTGGCCACAACAGGCAACTAACTGTACCAGTTCCTCTTTTGGCTGCAACAGAACCTATGATTCATTTCAGGCCACATTCACAAACAGGATTTTGGATCCCATTTATTTTTACCTTTCTCATCTGACCCCTAATAAGAGGTCTAGTGACTTGCCTAATTCAAATGTGTTTACTTCTCTGACCTCATTCATTTAGTAAATATTTATCGAGTGTCTATTGCTTTCTGTAAAGAATACGGCCTCAGAAACCCCATGGTACAGTTCTACTTTGTCCTATAGGGTCAAAGTGAGTCCTAAATGATTTGACTGCAATGGGTTAACTGGGGGCCCGGTGCTGGGAAATCAGCAAGTGAAGAGAACAGACAAAAATCCCTGCTCTGGTGCCATCCCTAGTTTCGAGAAGACTGACCCAAACCAAGGGGAACAAGTGAAAAGAATGTAGATGGTGGTGGGAGCCATAGAGCCAAATAAAGCCAGAAAGGAGTCATTTTTAAAAGGGTACTTCAGGCTGGGTCATCACTGAGGAAGTGACATTTGCGCAAAGACCGGAAAGAATGTCTTGGAATCAGGCTTGGGAATATCTGGGAGAGCAGCAATTCAGGCATGGGGAAGAGCCAGTGTAAAAGGGCTCACAGCTGGAAGTGTCTGAGCTGCTACAGAAAGCTCCTCTTGGCGGGAGAGGGATGAGTAAGGGGGAAAGAAGTAGGTGATGAAAGCAGAGGGGGCAAGAGGTCAGACTATGACTTTTTTCACATATTACATGGAACTGGGATTTAACTGAGTGAGCCTTGAGAGGACTGGGAACAAAGGGACAGGTGACATGCAGTGATATGCTGTGACTTGGCATTTAATAGGTTCCCCCTTAACGCAGGGCCGGAAGAGGCTACCACACCAGTGCAAGTGAGAGCTGGTGAACTCGGTGAGTGAGCAGGGGCTGCATCCTGATTCAAATCCGTAGGGCCGAGAGGCTTTGCCAGCAGGTAGCATAGTGAGTGGTAGACAAGAGGGGAGTCCAGGATGACTCCAGGCTTTGCGTCTGATCACCTGAAAAGGCAGAGTTGTGACAACTGAGATGGGGAGCACTACGGAGAACAGGCTTTGCGGGGAGATGAGGTGGTCAATTTTGGAGCCAGCCAGTTTCAGATGCTTGTTAGACACCTATGTGCATGCTATGAATAAAAAAAAATTTTAAAGTCATCAGACAGCCCTTATGATGGACTGTACAAGATTTTACTCATTTAAATCCTTTAATTCTCACCCCCCCAATATAGGGTAGATATTATTGTCGTTATTCTCGTCTTCCAGGTAGGAAATAGAGGCACAGAAAAATAGCTTGTTCAAGGTCATAGAGCTGGAGCTGGAAGAGTCCATAATCAAAGCCAAGCAGTCTGGCTCCTGTCAGCAATCTTAACCCCTTATAACACCAGCTCAAAATTGCGAGACACACAGAGAGGGTAAGAGCCCAGAGGGTGACAGGGAGACGAGGGTGATCACTGAGGGCTTTCCTGAGGAGACCGAAGGAGGGATGTGGCACTCAGGGCCCATGTCTGTAGGAAAAGAGCTCCCAGTAGAGGGTACAGTATGTATAAAGGCTCTGAGGTGGGTACACGCTTGGCAGACTACATTGTGGCCACCCTGAACGGCCCACAGTTCCCTTAATGCACCAGAAGAGTCCCCACCTCTGAGGATACACATGTGCTGTTCTTGCCAGAAGTGCCATCCCCCATTCCTGTACCGGACGGACCCTTTATTACACAATCATCAAGTTGCGGCTCCTCCCCAGGCAGAATGAATTCTTCCTCTGCATGGTCCAGTATGCCATACCGCCAATTTGCCTTTGCAAAGCTGCTTCTCTTGAGTCTTCAGCCTCATAGTCCTCTCACCTGTGCTAGCGGTGTGTCCTTGGGCAGGTTACTTAACCTCTGTTTCTGTTAAATGGGGATATTTTACTCTCCCAGGCTTTTGTGAGGATTAAAGGGGTTGCTATAGGTAAAGGACTTAGAAAAGCTTCTCTGGCACATGGCAGGCACTCAAACAAATGGTGGGTATTATAGGGTCTTTCATTCTTTTCCTTGCCAACAATGCTCTTTCCCCATCTTCCAGCACCTTTCAAATGAGGCCTGCCCTGTCCCCCCCCCCACACAGAATCACTTAAGTATCACCTCTCGTATCTCTTCTTTTCTATCCCCTGCCCTGAGTTTCCTGTTTTTCCATTCATTCATGTACCGAATTTGTATGAAATACCTACAACATAAGTGGTAAAAACCTACATAGGAGGCATGTTTTCAGGTGCTAGGGACACTGCAGTGAGTAAATTTAAGTGAGACAATTTAAGCCCACAGGGTGCTCCCATTCTGATGGGGAGACATAGACAATAAGCATAACAAACTGGCAAATCCTCCAGTGCATCAGTGATAAGGGGCCCCAAATCCTCAACGCGAAGGTTTCTGAGACTGGAAATCTTTATGCGAGTAGATTGCCTCATCGTTCTCCCGAGGAACAGCTGGTGGGTTTGAACTGCCAACCTTTCAATTTGCAGTTCAATTCTTAACCCACAGTGCCACCAGGGTCCCTTATACAGGGAAAAGGAACAAATGAAGCAGAAAAGTGGTCTGACTCAAGCTGTGCATGTGGGGATCCAGGGAATCTCTTTTAAACAAGGTAGTCAGGGAGGCTGACCTGAAAGGTTGACATATGAATAGAGGCCTGAAGGAAGCCATGCATTTATCTGGGGGACGTGGGGCCCCAGCTAAGAAAACAGCTAAGGTCTGGTGTATGTGAAGCCCAGTGAGGACGAGCTAGAGAGGGAAGAGGTACATGAGGTGATCCCCGAGAAGCAACTTGTTTTATTGTCATTAACTCACAGGGATTCTTTATACCGGAGGAGCCCCTCATCTCACTGATGGGAACAAGGGAGACGCAGTGGAAGAGGGATTCAATCACTCAGAGCTGCTGGGGGTGGGAGGGTGCGGGTGCTGAAGCAAGGCGGAGGGCAGGGACAGCTCTGCTGGCAGAGGGACCAGCAAGAACAAAAACTTGGAGCTGCAAGCTCATTTGCCTTTTGTGAAGTGGGCTCCATAGAGTGGATGAAGTGAGAGTGGCGGGGTGTCTCTGATGTTCATTTGTCCACTGAGGGGCGGCCTAGCCTGGTACATATTGGGCAACTTGTAAGTAAGGTATTTATGCCTGAGTTCATTAAAAAAGCACTTAAAGCGCATCACATCACCTGGCATATATTATGTGCTCAATAAATATTGGCTCACACTGGTATTTTCTAAGAGCTCTGGTGGTATAGTGGGTTATGAGTTGGACTACTATTGCAAGGTTAGCGGTTCAAAACCATCAGCTGATCCGTGGGAGAAAGATGAAGGTGTCTGCTCCCATAAAGATGTAGTCTTGGAACCTATAGGGTTGCAATGAGTTGGAATTGACTGGACAGCAGTAGGGGCTTATTTTTTGAGGGGGGTGGTATTGGTATTATTATCACTAATACTGAATTCGTTGACAGTAAAAATGACCTGGGTCCAACAAGCAAAGAGAATCATGTACTACTGGAGGATGGGGGAAGAATGGGCAGGCAAGGCCACAGATTGATCCACCACAAGGAACAGGGGATCCTCTGGGAGAGTGGTTATAAAGCACCAAACCTATGGGAGATCCCCTTGCAAATACAAAGTACTAAACTGACCTACTGTTCAAAGGAAGGGAGAAGCCATGCAACGGCTGGGTCTGCAAACAAGGGAGAGGAGAGAGGGTAATGGGCGGGACACAAGCATACAGACTAATCTACTACAAAATGAAGAGCGGGGATGAAGCCATGGGCTGATGCATTGGGGGACTGGAGGAAGCAGGACCATAAACTCCCAGACTGACACACTGTAAAGAAAGAGGGCTGGTGGTGTCCACAACACTAGGGACTGATTCAGTACAAGGAGCTGGTGGGGTGGAATAAACATGGTTACAGACAGGTCCCCGGAAAGTTGGACAGGTGAAATACAAGCACTCAAACTCACTTATTATAAATGGGGATTGGACAATACCACAGACTGGTCCTCTATAAGTTGGGGTGGGTGCAAGACCATAGATGGGTCCCCTGTAAGTTCGGGAGGGAGAAATACAAGCACGCAGACTGATCCATTTTCATTATAAGACTGGTGAGGTGGGGAGGTGTTAGGCCACAGTCAGATCCACTACATGGGGCGAAGGGAGGGGGCAAGGTCCACCAGCCACGGTGGTGGTGATAGTGGTGACAGTGGGGGGCCGAACACTATCAGGCCACGGGCCAAGCCATATTCCCCACCACCACCCTGCCCCGTGCGGGGGCGGGAAGAATACGTGGGGTCATGAAGAGCCCTCCCCAACCTTCAGGCCCAGGGCTCACCTGTGCGCAGTGTGATAGCGGCTCTAGCGCGGTTGGCAGCTCCGGGGGGCGGGGGCTCCATGCGTGGCCCCACCGCCCCCCAGGCCCCAAGCTTCGAGGCGGCAGTGGCGGTGGCGGCAGCGGCGGTGGCAGCGGCGGCGGCGGGCTGCAGCACCTAGAAGCCGCCCCTGTGTGTCTCCACGGCTCACGTGGGCCCATAAAGGCGGAGCTGTGCCCCACCGCTCACTGATTGGCACAAGCAGCGGAGAACGCGCGGCATCGGGAATGAGGAGGCGAGCCTTGCCCCGCAAAGGCCTACTGTGATTGGCCCACAGAGAACTGATGGACCGCAGCCGACTGCCTGGGTCCCCAGGGGTGTGCTTGGCTCGCTGGTGCTCCGCTCTGATTCGTGCAAGGCCTGCTAGACCGTGGGCAGTTGACAAAATTCTGGAGGCGCCAGGCACTGATTGGTCTAAATGGGATTGATGGCACACAGACGGCGTCCTAGGAAGCGGTGGGTGGGGCCTGCTTCGTGCTGATTGGCGCACGAGGGACTCCTAGACAGCTGCCAAAACACCAAGGGGGTGGTGCCGCACTCCACGCTGCTGAGCGGAAACAGGACTTGTATAGAAGTGGGAGGAGCAGCCCGCTGGAGGGTGGGGCCCTGGCTCTGCGTGGGCGGGCTAGCTATGATGATTGGTGGAAAAGAGTAATTTAGGACAGGGCGGAAGTAGGAGGGTAGGACGGCTAGTGGACACTTGAAGGATCGCTGAGTGGCAGAAACTCAAAACCAATCCCCAACCCAACCCAGTGCCGTGGAGTTGCTTCAGACCCAGAGTGACCCGATGGGGCAGAGCAGAACGGCCCCTTATGGCTCCCCAAAGCAGACCACCTCCCTTGTGACAGCCCAGGAACTGCTGGCTTTGAACTGCTCGCCGTGGGGTGGACAGCCCAGGTGTAGCAAAAGGCAGTAAATAAAGGCCTACCAAAAGGGCAGACGCGAGCTGCAGTCAGCGATGATGGGGCAGAACTGGCACTGGTGGAAGCCTGGAATAAGGGGCTGGACACGGGCCTGGGGGAGGGGGGTGTCGGTGCGTGAGGCCCCGACTGGGTGGGATGGGGCATGGGAGTAATTAAGGCACCTGAGAAAGGCTTGGGCTGTGGGGAACCGGTAAGCCGTAGGGCTGTGAGAGAAACGCCGATTGCCCTGAGAACAAATCTCCACCCTCAACTGGACCACTCTATGGAAATTGGAAGGGTGCTGTACGGGAAGGGGGATGGAAAGAAGGGTGAAGTGGGGGGCTGGGTTGCCAAGGAGACAGTAGAGCAGGCAGAGCTTTAAGGCAAGTGGTAAATGCTGCCAGGCAACAGGCTGGAGGCGGGATTTCCGGGCCCTGTAGAGGAGTCCGGAGCTCTGGGCCTCTAGGTAATTGTGTGCTCTTCAAAACAGGGCCCCCTTGGCAACTAGACGGACGTAAGGTGTAAAGGAAGGGCTATCGGACCCAAAGGCATTCAGGTTCTTTAATGTTGGGGGTGGGGAGCAGGCAGTCAGTGAAGAGGCGTCTCTGGGAGATTTTGCAGGCCTTGTAGCTCTCTAAGGCCCTAAAAAAGAGGACAGGAGAGATGGAACAGAGTTGGAACAGCGAAAGTCCCAAGCCCCCACCCTAGGCTTACCTCCCCTCAAAGTTGGCCAGGCTCATTTGGCTGCAGTTCAGTGGGAAAGGGGAGGTTCTTCCCTTCTCTGCCTTTTTCCCTTCATTTGTCCCTATACACATTTAGACGATTGAGCCTGGGAGTGGGATAAGCTGTTCTCACCTCTAGTAACATGTGAATGTGGGCCTTGATATTCATGGAGTCCTTAGTAAGGCTGTTACTGAGCCTGGAGAGGAGAAACAAGAAAGGGTAAGGTGGGCCCGACATAAATGATGATGACAACGACCCTCTCTCAACACTCTTAAGTATCTACATCCTGGATGAGGAGCCCTGGTAGTGCAGTGGATATGCATTGGGCTGCGATCCACAAGGTTTGCGGTTAATCACCAGGTGATTGGCGGGAGAAAGACAGTCTAAGAAACCCACAGAGGCAGTTCTACCCTGTCCTTATGGGGTTCACCATGAGTCAGAATTGACTTGATGTTCACGAGTCTGAGGTTTTGTTTGACATCCTAGATGAGTCTCACAGGCCCAGTGGTGGGACCTATGTGACCTATCACCACCTAAGTTCTACTACCTGGCCTGCTCCTCTAAAAGAGGCCTGGCCACCACCTGGATCTCATGGATCTAAAAACCACTGATTGAATGCCTACTGTATGCCAGGCAGGTATAGGCACAGGAGAGACAGCAGTGAACAAAACACAATTCCCAGCCTTGTAGAGTTGACATTCATGTTATGAGACGGGCAAATAAATGACGGAAGCAAACTATACCATGTGCAGTTCTGGGGGCAATGAAAACAATTAGACAACCAGGGAAGATGAGGCGTGCAGGGGGGAAGATAATACATTTAGAGCACTCAGGGATGGCTTCATTAAGAAGCGTTTGAGCAAAGACTTAGAAAAGTGAGGAAGTGACGCATGTGGACAAGAGTGCTGAGGGTGGAGTGGACCTGACATGTCGGAGGTACAAAGACAGAGGCCAGTGTGGCTGAGAAGAGAAGGGGGAATGCAGGAAAAGGTACGGTCTGAAAGGTAAAGGGAGGGGGCCATCGGCTGGGTTCAGCCTCTAAGGCAGGCGTCCTCAAATTACAAACCGCAGGGCACATGCGGCCCGCGGACATTTATCCAGCCCGCCGGGTGTTTTTGCCCCGTTTTGTTTTTTTACTTCAAAATAAGATATGTGCAGTGTGCATAGGAATTT